TGGCCAAGAGTGCCTTCCCCGCCTTCTCGGGCAGGGCAAGGGGTGGAGTACAGAGTGATCTGCTGTGGGGCCCAGGCCCTCAGTCTCTGGGGCTGGCAGCACTGCCCCAGTGATGAACCTCCCCCAGGGGCAGGGAGCAGCTGCCGGGTCCAAAGCATCCCAGCAAACACTGGCCATTCGGCACCAGCCAGGGGAAGGTCTCGCACCCAGGCCATTCTGGATCAGAAGCGTGTGTGGGGAGATGGGAGCTGAACACGGACCCCTCTCCAAACTCCCAGCAGCCCCCAGAGCCTCGTCCCTGCGATCCCTCTAACGCCATGGGCACAGGGACCCTCAGCCAGCATCCCCATAGGGCCCAACAGTGGGGAACCCAGCCCCTTACCTGGCTGGCCCCTCCCACGGCCTTGACGCTGGCCCCAGTTCAGCCCAGTTCCCCCACTCTGCAGGGCACTGGAGAAGCCTCCACTGGCAGCTTTGCCGCTGGCGCTCTGTGGCAGCTCCTGCCGAGGCCCCAGGGCCCAGGCCGGGCAGCGCTGCCCTCCCAGGGGGCTCGTTAGCCAGGGCCATGCAGACGCCTGGGGCCCAAAAGCCAACCATGGCTCCCCAGCCGGGAGCGGGTTTCCTTGACACCTGGGTTCCCCAGGGGGCCAGATCCTAAAGAGCAGGAGGGGAAGATGCAGAAAGAGGAGAGCTGTGCACGGGGCCGTGGAGCGGGGGGAGGGGACAGAGCGACGTTTAAACCAGAGGGGCAGAGGGCACGCCCCATCTTCCTCAGAGCCCTGGGCTGGCCTGTGCCCCCTGGCCCCAGGGGTGGGGGCTGGAAAGTGACTTGCCTTGCCCCAGAGTGCCAAGGCCACTGGCTGTACCGGAGAGGCCGTGCGGCTGCAGGAAACGCCCCCCCCCCCCCCCCCCCCGAGCTGGGCTCCGTGGGGCCAGGATTCAGGCCTGGGGAGCTTTGGGCCTTGTGGAGGGGACTCCAGCACTGGGGAAAGGGCCAGCTCGACTGCCCCAGAGCCCAAGGCTTGCGTCACACCCCCATCCCCCACGCCAACGGCCCTGCCCTGAAGGGACCCATCTAGGGGCAGAGCGGAGCTCAGGCTCTGTAGCCCCAGCGTGCCGGTCCCACAGCCGGCAGGCAACGCGGGTGCTGTCCCAACAGGAACTGGACTGAGCCCCTCTCCACAGCCACCACCCACTGTCAGACACTGCTCCCCTGGGACAGATTCGAACCCGTGCCCCAGAGAGGAGAGACGCCCCCTACCCCGCCAGCCCAGAATATTATTATTCATCTTACATAGCACTGTCCAGCAAAACACTTCCCAAAGGAGGTCAGTGTCATCATCCCCACTATACACATGGGGAAACTGAGGCAGAGGGCAGGGAAGGGATTTGCTCAAGATCACCCAGTGGCAGAGTCAGACATAGACTTCCAGTCTGCTGCATCCCAGTTCAGTGCTTTACCCACTAGGCCACACTGCCTCCCTTGAATCATAGAATCATAGAATATCAGGGTTGGAAGGGACCTCAGGAGGTCATTTAGTCCAACCCCCTGCTCAAAGCAGGACCAATCCCCAATTAAATCATCCCAGCCAGGGCTTTGTCAAGCCTGACCTTAAAAACTTCTAAGGAAGGAGATTCTACCACCTCCCTAGGTAACGCATTCCAGTGTTTCACCACCCTCCTAGTGAAAAAGTTTTTCCTAATATCCAACCTAAACCCTCCCCCACTGCAACTTGAGACCATTACTCCTTGTCCTGTCATCTTCTAAAAGAAGACTCTGTGGCCATAGCTCGGGAGCGGCTTTCCCTCCACGCACTGCCAGGGGGAGCCAGGAGATGTTTAGTATTGTCTGTCCCAAGTGTGGGGAGGCACGAGCCACCCCGGGTCCCACACAGGTGCCTCTGTCCAGATGGCAAGAAGGCCGAGCGGGCCCATCAGCTTTGGTGCCCCTCTTGTGCCCCAACATTCAGAAGTCACTAGTCAGGCCTCAAAATCATGAGATTTGCTTCAAAATCACAAGATTTTAATATTTGTTTGCATTCTGGCATGGCTGTGTTTGGGAGGAGCGAGGTCTGGGGCTTCTCCTCCACGCCGAGGGTGGGCACTTTATCTAACGAAAGTGAAGTTTCTTCATTACTGATCCCATTCCAACTCACCCACCCACCCACTGCTGGGCTCACCATGCAATGATGGGCGTTGGCAATGCTGGCCATTTAAGGGTTAAAGTGTGACAGGGCGTTGGTCTACCTTGGCACTAGAAGGGCAGCAGGAAGAGCAGCAGCCCCACAATTGAGCTGCCTTGGAAATTTGGGGGTGTGTGTGGAACCCTTATGTTTTCACCCCTTGCAAAAAATTTTCAAAAGCCAAAAATGTATATGTGTGGTGTGTGTGTGTAGTTTTTTCCATCCCTTCCCATCCACTTTCCAGTAGATGAGAAAAGGACAAAGGGTAGAGAAATGGGGGAGGGAGGGGTAATTTTTCGAAGGCTTTTTTTAAATTGCTCATCAAAAACCTGAAATGTTTAGAAAGAAGCAAATTTTTTCTACAACACTGTCAAGAAAAAGGCCAATTTACCAACAAAAAGGCTCAGGCTTTAGTTTAAAGAGGAGCGAAAGAAGCAGGGCTGAAATAGGTACAGAATATAATGAAAGGAGGGGGGTGCTCCTATTTGCCCCCCCTTCACCTGCCCCAGTGTTGCAAGAGCAATGGGACGCTCTGTGAAAGCAAATGTCAAGGGAAGTTACATAATTAGCCAGGGGAACTCACTGCCACTAGATGTCACTGACATTGCGAGCCTGGCAGGATTCAGACAAGGATGGTGGGGGAGCAATGGTGTCAGGACAGAATTTAGAAAACAGGGCACAAGGCCACTGCTGACTGTCAGGATGAGGGGGATATGCCCCCCTTCCCCGACTGGTTATGTCATCATTAGCCACTAGGAGGGGGTTCTTGCACCTTCCTCTGAAGTAGCTGGTGCTGGGGCGGCTGGCCCCATTGATCTGGTTTGGGGAAGGAGGCAGCAGGGAGAGGGCGGGGTACTGGGCTAGATGGGTCCTGTGACGCTAGCAGACCAGGTGTCAGCTCATGCCCAGGCCCTTAGGCCTCACTGAACACTGACAAATGCAGAGCTTGACCCAGCCTGTGTGTTAGCCGTGTGACAACAGCTGCTGATCAGCGTGTGTGGAGTGTTTCGACTTGTGGAATTGCTTGCAGGATTGATCTCTCCCATAACCTCTGTAGCCCGTGGTATAAAGTTAGAATGAACGTTTGCATCATAAACCTCTGTAACTGCTCCACACCACTGAGTTTGCAAGGCAGCTTACGTCCACCTAACACTTCATACCATTCAGATAATTTTTTACATAATATAATATAATGTAAAATGTATAATGTAATAAAAATTCATAACATTCAGATTCCAGTGCCAGTCACAACAGTGTGCTGCCTGGATTCTCTGCACTTCCAGCCCCACACACTGATCACCTCCTGCCCTAGACTCTTGGGCAGCGCTGCTGGGCGGCTGTTAACAGCTGCCTGCCACTCCTTAGGAAGAATTCAGCCCTGGTGAGGAACCCCTGTATATACTGCCCATGCCCCACCCCAGAGCTGGCAGCATCTCAGCACCGGGTAAGACAACTCCCCTGCACTCATGTCTATGATTTAAGACCCCTAAGGATGGCAGCAGGAGAGGATTCGCTGATGAGCCCCTCACATGGCTAGAGCCCTGCGCAGATACAAAAATGTGGATGTGCATCAGCCTGCGATCCACAAGCCGCCTTTTACCTGTATCCGCATCCACACCGGCAGCAGCTAGCGAGGGTGGGGAAGGGATCTTGCAGGGAAGAGGCAGTGTGGAGGGGGCAGGGTCTCGAGGAGAAGGGGCAGCTTGGAGGGGGCGGGGTCTCGAGAAGGGGCAGTGTGGGGGCGGGGTCTTGAGGAGAAGGGGCAGTGTGGAGGGGGTGGGGGCTGGGGGGGAGGGGTTTCTCATCACGTGCCGCTCCTGGGGGGTCACGAGCGTACACAGCAGCAGCAGAGCATGTTGCATCCCAGTGGGGTGGAGGGGTGGGGTGCCGGGGCCTCACCCTCTCCAATCCCAAATCCTGCTGCTCAGGAGCTGGTGGGGACACTGGTGCTGCTCGAGCTGCTGGACAGGAAGCCGCGCGGTGGGGCGAGTGGGTGCCGGACAGCCCCAACTCCGACGTGTTGCCTAGCCACTGGCTGCGGGCCGGCGGCCCCGAGTGCCCTGCGTGCCCCGGGCTGCCTGAGCTGGATGCCGCGGGCCAGGCGCTGCTGGGGAGTAGAGCCCTGCACGGTTGTATCTGCAGCCAATCCACTATCCGCAGAAATGGGGCACGGATATGCAGGGCTCTACACATGGCTGACCCCAAACCACCCCCTTGGGCCCAGCCTGCCAGTTGTGACCCCAGTCCCCAAGGCCAGGAAGCAGATGGCCCGGTACCTCCATGATGTCCCTGAGCATGGGGATCCAGTGGGAGAGCTGGTAGCTGGATTCCAGCCTCGCCTTCCTCTTCGGTCGCAGCTGCCTGCTCTGGGGGAGGAAGGGAGAGGGGGTGAGAGGCAGCAGGGAGGAGGTGCGGGGTGGGAACGGGGGCAGACAGGGAGAGCGTGGCCTACCTGAGTGGCGCCAGCCAGGCTGGCAGGGGAGAGGCAGAGAAAACAGAATGGATCACTGAGTGACAGAGAGAGAGACTGATGGGAGAACAGAGCTGCTTCCCCCCATTCGCCGCATGGCCACCCCAAGCAGTGGTCACCAGCTCCAGCTCGCTGGCGATCTGAGGTCCTGACTCCCAGTATCCTCTGCCAGGGCAGAAGAAGTCACCCCAGATGGGGAGTAACTCGGGGGTCACCCTCATATGGGGAGGGCGTCACCCCACTGTACAGGGACAGAGGCCACCTCTGTGCTGGGAGTAGGTCACTGCCATAGGGCGGCACCTCCAGGATGGCCTGGGCTCCCCTGTGCAGCACAGATCTGCCCCCTGGCATGAGTACAGCTGCTGGCCCCTGGCCCCAGTCCCTTACCCCAGGCGTGAGAGAGATGCCCAGGAACAGCATGTTGTGGATGATGTCTCTCTGCTGCTGGATGTTGGCATGCTGGATCAGCTTGGTGAGGTTCTCCTTGTCCACACCTGCACGGGGACAGACAGGTCAGCCCTAGCACCCCTGGGACGCACCCACAGCCCAGGCACACGAGTCCGTGGCCCCAGGAGTCCTAGTTCCCCGATCAAATCCTGAGATCCTGCTCTTCCCACCCCTCTCAGAGCTGGGGGTAACCCCAGGAGTCCTGGCTCCCAGGCCCCCTCTATCCCACTAGACCCCACTGCCCTCCCAGAGCTGAGCATAAAACCCAGGAGTCCTGGCTCCCAGCACCATCCGCTCTAACCCACTGAACTCCACACAGTTAATGATCGAATTTAGGTTCTTGCTGCTCCTCCCTCAACAGGTTCTCTCGGGCGCTGGGGTCAGGGGTCTCTCTAGTTCCCCCTGGCAGTGCAATGGGAGCCCCCGTCCCCCTGATCTGGGCTATTCCTATTCCTGCCTCTGCCACCTACTCCTGGCATGCTGCTCCATGCCTCAGTTTCCCCCCCTGTAACATGGGGATAGTGCTTTCACCTGTGACAGGGAGGCTTGGCAAGAGCCTCAGGAATATCCCTGGGGGGACTCAACGGGAGTCACAGCAGCAGGGTGTGCACAGAGCAGGATTTTCCCTCCCCAGCGCCGCTATCAGCTCCTGAGAATAGCCCAGATCAGACTGGGGCTGCAGGCTGGAGCCAGCTCTGCTGCAGCAAGTAGCTCCGGTGGTTAACAAGCATGCTGTCAGTCTCTTCCCTGGGTAGATGGTTTGGGCAGCCAGGTGTGTGCCAGGCTCCCCTCTGGAGGCAGGCCTGTACTGCCAGCTGTGAGTTACAGAGCATCTGTGCCATGGCAGCCAGCTATCCCAGAGGGGGCCCCCCTGCCCGAGACTGGTAGCATTATCCCCCTTTTACAGATGTGGAAACTGAGGGGTAAATAGGGGAGGTGACTTGCCCAAGGTCACCCAGCTGGGAATAGAGCCCGGGTCGCCCGTCCCAGTCCAGGGCTCTATCCACTAGGCAACACTGTCTTGGTCGATGGGAAAGTAGAGAGGAATGGTGCAGTCATGGATCCACAGGGTCGGTGCCAGGGTCCCAGCTGTGGAAATCTCTGGGAGGAAGCCCTTTGCTGTGCCAGACCCCAACAAGTCTCTCTCTTCCTCCAGGACAGGCCACATGGCCTTCCCGCCTCCTGAGACTGAACCACTAGTCTTTACCCCGTGAGCCCTGCCCAGCGAGTCCAGCTGGGACAGATCCTGGTAGAGACCCGTCCACTCCGCAGGGCCCGACGCCCCTCAGCCCGGGTGACAGGGCCACTCACCCAGCGTTGTCAGAACAGTCGGGTTTCTTAGGCACCTGGACCCCAGCCTGGGCAGCCCAGCCCACTGAAGGTTAAAGCAAGAGGCCGTTCTGGTCAGCCCAGAGCCCGGCCGAGCTGCAGAGAAACCTGTTTTCAGCTCCGGGTCTCTCACTCAGGGCCTGTCTACATGTAAACCACTTCAGCTGCTCCGCTTCAGTGACGCTGCCTTTCCCATACCCCCGAGCGACACAGTGGCACCGACCCAATTGCCTCGTGTAGACCAGGCCTCGGCCTGACCTTGGTCAGTTCTCAGGCGAGAGCTCCCAGCTTCCCGCACTCATCCCCCAGCTCAAACCTTCCAACCCTGTGTTCTCGAGCTGGGGGCCCTGCTCCAATTCCCTGCTGGGAGCATCCAGCCAGGAGTCATTGGAGCTGGCACGGTCTTTCTGGCCCCCAGGCTGATCTGTGTTGGATTCTCTTCATTTCACCAAGACAGGGAGGTGACACCCCCCCCCCCCCCCGCATGACTCTTACCTTCCCCGAGAATCCTTCCCCTTCACCCCCTGCCAGAGAAGCCAGGAAATATATAGGGAAACTGAGGCACGCATCAGATTCATAAAAGATATTACAAACATTCCCAGTTGGTCACAGGTGCACAGTCTCCCAGCAACTCAGCAAAGGCTGGAAGCAAGAGCAGAGGCAACAGGAGAGAGAGATCTGGGCAGGCCTTGGATTTTACATCACTTTGCTTCTCCTGGGGGGCAGGAGCTACTGGGTTTCCTGTGTGAGAATCCAGGGCAGGGTGGGTTTGCAGCTGCCCTCTGCTGGGGGTGGGATGGGGATGGCAGGAGCTAGGGGAAGCCCACAGGCCAGGGCTGACTTGTGGCTAAGGCTCGGGAGAGCTGGGTTCTATTCCTGCTCTGGCAGACTCCCTGTATGCCTCAGTTTCCCTTCTGTAACACAGGCCACCCTGCCTCCCCTGGGAGGCTGAATTCATTAGTGAGATTCTGATACCATGGTGATGGGTGTAGGAGCACACACAGATAGGAGTGTCCAGGTGTGGAAGAGGCTCTGTGTGCGAAGCTTAGTTCTGTGACCGAACTGCCCTGTTTATAAACAAAGAGATTATGCTGGGCACACACTTCCCCAGTTGGTGCCTCGGTTTCCCCATCTATACAGACGGGATAAGGACACTAGCCTTTGTAGAGCACTTTGAGATCTGCCCACAGCCAGTGTTAGAGAAGGGCTGTGGCCATTAATCCAGCCACACAGGGAATGCTATTGTTCTGCCAACCCCTCAGGATCTCCAAGGGTGACTAGACCCCACCCCTCCCCCCCGCCAGGATCTCCGAGCAGGTTCTAAATCACTCCTCCTTCCTTCTACTTCTCATGTGCTCCCCCGCGGCTCTGTCCCATGGCAAGGGCGTGGCCAACACAGCTCGCTCACCTCTCCCATGCTGGGCTCGTATGCCTTGAACACCTTGAGTTTGGCCAGCACAGCGTGCGCCAAGTGGAAGTTATCTTCATGGTCCCTGCAGCAAAGACAAACCCTGTGGGTCAGAAACAGCTCCTCCCCCAGGGGCACATGCACTTCCTGTAGGAGGTAACCAGGTACCCTCGCCCTTTGGGCACACTCACTTCCTGTAGAGGATGGCTGGGTACTTCTCCATGGCACACTCACTTCCTATAGGGGATAGCTGGGTACCCCTTCCCCTGGGCACACTCACTTCCTGTAGCGGATGGCTGGATACTCCTCCAGGGTTTTACACAATGTGGCAATCTGCTCTGCCAGATTCTCCATCTGCTTGTTCTTTTCGAAAAAGCGGTAGGGGCTGAACCAGTTGTGGAAGCTCTATGGCCTCTCCAGGGAGTACACCTTGGGGACAGGGGAGAGCAGAGATCAGACCCCGGTGCCAACTGCTTGCAGCCAGGCCAGCTGTGCCCCATAGACGCGCTGTTGGATCAGGCCAGCCTGGTGGAGCTGTAGCGAGCCCCTAGTGAGGGAGAGATCCCTTTGCCAGTGCCACTCCTGTTGTGGTAGAGGGATAGCGAGCCAGAGATTCATGTACCAGCCTGGGATGAAGATGCCCCAGGTTCAGGTCCTTACTTGGCTGCAGACTCCCAGGTGCCGTCAATGTTGGGGGAGGGGGCTTGGCGACGCTTCTCGTCTGGCGAAAGCCCCAGCACAGCCACGGGCAAACCCGGCATCAAGGCGCGTCTGCCGCTGTCGCTTATTTCACTGGCCGAACAGAACGAGCCATGGGGACAAACGTGCTTGGACACCAATAAATAGTATCGGCCCATGAAGGGTTTGCTGGCGCAACGGGACGGGTGAGCCAGCAAAGCCTCCTGACGGACACTCAGCTTCTACCAGCCAAAGCTTCTCTTGGCACAGCTGGCACCGGTACCCCAGATGAAATCAGCTAGAGTGGCGAAAGGACTGCTTTGCCAGCGTAACGGCACCTACCCAGGGGCTCTGCCACCACAGCTGCATCAGTTACAGAGGGGATTTTTTCTCTCCTGTCCCTGTAACAAACCCATACCAACAAAGCTTTTGTGTGTAGACCAGGCTCATGTCTCTCTGTGCCTCAGTTTCCCCATCAATGCAATGGGGCTGACACCACAGTCCTGCCCCTCAGGGGCAGGAGGGGGGAAATCCACTGATGACACAAGGAGGGGATGGGGTGGTTGGGTAAAGGGCAGGCGTGTGGAGTATCAGGCTGTCTTGCAGGCCTAGTATAAACCATCAGTAAGAGCTGGTAAAGCCAGGGAGGCAGGGCCCTCCTCCCCCATACATCTACCATCCCCACCAGGTGCAAGCCAGCGATTCCACGGCTCACAGGGTGTGAGCAGCCAGCTAGTCCCTGCTGCCCTGTGCTGGCGTCAAACCCGGGGCCCTAGAAGGGAAAGGTTCCCCCGCCAAGCCACATGAAACAATAAGGGTGGAGTGTCATACGTCACCATCTGCCCCGCAGACCTGCTCCTCCAAAGCCCGGCCACCCCTCACCCGGCTCTCGTAAGGCAGGAAGGCCATGTTGATCTCCTTGAGGGTTTTGATGACCTTGGTGATCCGTGACTTCCTCAGCTCCTTGAACAGAGGCTCAGGACAGGCTGCAAGGCAGAGGCAGTGGGTGGGAGTGACAGGCACAGGGCTCAGGACCCCCAGCACAGCGCCAGCCCCCACGGACGGGGCCAGACCGGGCACAGCAGGGGCAGTAGTGCTGCACGCCTGTGGGGAACCTGGGCAAGCCAGCAGGGCCACACAGGAGTCAACGATGAGTCCAGCCCCCACGAACCAGAGTCATGCCGGGTTCTCGCCTTCTGCAGCATCAGCAGCGAGGGGGAGCCACAATCTCTCCTACGCAGCCCCTGTCTCACACCCTGCCCTCAGCCCCCCCGCAGGGCTGAGTGACCGGAGTGTACAACATAGGATGATGCACAAGGAGGAACAGGGACTTGGGCTCCCCCTGCCGCTGTAATGGGGAGAAGCAGATATGACCCTGACACACTGGGTATTCTGGTGCTGTCCCATCCCCCCACCGAGTTGGGACTGATGGAGCAATGCATGCTGGGAATGGTAGCCAGAGGCCGCCTTTCTGGGCACATGCTGCAGGTGTCTGTGAGCCGTGCTGGCTGGAGGCAGGCCCGTGGGGGAGAAGGGGGGGGGGAAGGGATAGGTGGGGTCATTCGGTCTGGCCTGCTGGGGCTGCATCCCCTGCAGGAGGGCAGAGCATAATCAGGGTGCTGCGCACTGGCCTGCCGGCAGAGAGAGACCCCCCCACCCCCAGGCTCCAGTGTGCCGCTGTCCAGGCTCCCAGCTGGGGGATCCCCCGACCCCCGATACTCACGGCTGAGGAAGAAGACGTGAACTGCCTTGTAGTTGAAGGTGGGGGTGCCCTGGAAGTCATTGATCAAAGCCTGCACCGACTGCAAAGGGGGAAGAAAGGGGGTGTTAGCACCTGCCGAGGCCCCTCCCTGCTGCTCAAATGGCCCAGCCCATGCCCAGCCCCTGGGGACTCAGGGCCTAGCATGATGCCATCAGGAGGTGGGCTGGTTTTTACCCCCCTGGCTCTGGGCTCCCTCCCCACCTGGAGCAGGGCTTGTGCCCATGTGCCCGGGACATCCTTAGGGCCCAGTCCTATCTCTCGCTGCCACAGAAGTGTCCATGCCCGGCCACAGATGGGGCCTGGCATTGCCTTGCTGCTGAACTAAGTGGGCTCTGAGCAGTGCCCAGGGAACAGCCGGCCGAGCAGCAATCCCAGGCAACTACCATCAGGGTCCCCTCCCTCCCCGGGCGCCATGCTGGTCACCTGCAGCTTCGCCACGCCAGCTAGCCTGGCAGGGTGTTTGGAACCTGTTCAGACCCCTCGACCAGCCATTGTGACAGGTGAGAACCTGGCTGCCCTGTCCCAAGCCCCAGGCCCCAGCTCGCAGTCCTCTCCTACAGCGCTCCCTCCGCGGGCAGCCCCTGCGGGTTCTGGGCTTCACCCTGCTCTGCCAGCGCCCCCTGCCCCTGGTCTCCCTCCACTCACCTTGCTGCTGCAGATGCAGGAGCCTCCTCCCCAACAGCCCCTGCTCCCTGAGCCTCTGCCTCATCGAGTCTCCTTCGCTTTGAGTCTCAGCTGAGGTCGCCTCTCTCCGCCTGCTGCACCTGCCCATCCAATCCCCACAGGATTGCACTGCGGAGAGGTCTGGGGGACAGTCTGTGCCTCACGTGGCAAAGAACATGAAGCCCAGCTCCGGGGAAGCAGCCTCCTAGGGAGCCCCTACTGGCCCCATTCCCATCCTGACATTGTGCTGCGCACAGAGAAATGGAACAAGGGGAGTCTCCGTGTTCCCCTAGGAAAGCCCTGTAGGCCATTGGCCCAACATCTCCACCACCTTCCTGCCGTGCCGAATGCTCCCTCTGCCGCACCGGCCTAACCCGCTGCTCCACATCCCCCAGCCCAGTCCATGCCGGGGGCTCAATAACCTTCCTGGCCAATGGTACATACTGCCCCATGCTTGGCACTCTCCTGCTTCTCCTCCCACCCAGGCTGATTCACTGGTCCCAGTGGTCTGATCCGGTGTGTGTGTGTGGGGGGAGATATGGGGCTAGCTGGACAAGCTGGGTCTGATCCAGCGCGGTGGGAAGGCAGACATACCCAAGCCTAGCTGGGGATGGATGATGGGCTAGACAGAGCAGGGATCTGATCCAGCCTGGAAAAGCTCAGGTTCCTAATGAATCTCAAGAGGCTGGAGGGGGAGGAGCATGATATATGGATACAGCATATCCCCAGGGGGACACCAGGGCAACAGGTTCGGCCTGCTTACCTTCCATTCTCTTTCCTTCTTCACGCTGTGAAGGACAACGCTGAGGATCTCTGCGAGGGAAAGAGACGGGGATTAGTGGTGGGGCTCAGACGGGATGGCTGTGCCCTGAGCCAGGACCCACTGGCTGGTGGAAGGACGCCTCGGGGAAGTGGCTCAGAGGTTGCTTTCAGGCCAGATAGTGTTGTGCTCCTAGCAGAGCCCCCAGTCAGCGATCGTGGTGGGGTGACAGGCTAGATGGGCCATGGGTCTGATCCCCCTTCCTTTCTGCCAGGCTGGATACGAGCGCAGCTGAACTAAGGATCTGGCCCCGTGCAGGAAGAAAACAGATCCTGTCCAGCACCTCTTGACTGGAGGGGATCATAGAATCATAGAATCATAGAATATCAGGGTTGGAAGGGACCCCAGAAGGTCATCTAGTCCAACCCCCTGCTCGAAGCAGGACCAATTCCCAGTTAAATCATCCCAGCCAGGGCTTTGTCAAGCCTGACCTTAAAAACCTCTAAGGAAGGAGATTCTACCACCTCCCTAGGTAACGCATTCCAGTGTTTCAGGATCCAGGGACCCTCACTGTGTATGGGGGACAGCAACACAACAAAGACTTCAAATTCTGAGTCCTGCACATAGAACCCCTCCAAGGCATGCCCCACTCAGGGAACTGCTGGCCTGTCTCCTGGGCACCTTCCACGGCCCAGCTAAGCAATTAGATAGTCAGCTCTTCAGGCCAAGCACCATCTTTTTGTTGGTGATGACTGGCGCTCCTGGGCACCACTGTAATACACCTAATGAATAATGTACAACGCCTTGCAAAATGGGGCCTTGGTCCATGACTGGGGCTCCTGGGTGCTACCATAATACATCTGTTTGTTTTACCCCTATGAAGCACCTGATTCTGGCTGGCCCCGTAGGGCAATAGCCCCGAGACCCTGACCTGTGCTCTCACTCTCACTCCCACTCCCGGTAGCTGGTGTGCGTGAGTGCACTGCCCAACACACTATGTTTCCCCCATAACTCAAGCAATGCCTCTCCCTACCCCACCTCTAGCCCATCAGGACTTGGCTGCTCGGTCCTAATGAGGCTCCAGGGGCTATTCTGCACCAGGACGCGCTGGCCTCCCTGCTATGCCTATGGCCTCCCTGCCTTTCCTGCAGTTCCTTTACACCTGCGGCATGCGGACGCCCCGTTCACTGGGGCACGTGGGGCTCGAGTGCACGGTAAGGGGCTGGCAGCACAGACTGGATCCAGACATGGTGAAGGCAGACACAAACCTGCTTTCTCCACGCATCTCCGCCCAGGCATTTCGACCCTGAACTGCAGCTACACCCCCCCCACCCACACCAGCCCTGGACTGCCCCCACCAGCTGTGCCAGTGCCCCTCACTACTGACTGGAGCCCTTGCTATCCCAGCCCTGGGCTCCCACCCACTCCCAGCTCCGCCAGTGCCCCTCACTCCTGTCCACAGCCCCCTGCTATGCCAGCCCTGGTCTGTCCCCCCCCAGCTCTGCCTCACTCCTGACCTGCAGCTATTCCAGTCCTGGGTTCCCCCCCTCACGGCTCTGCAGATGCCCCTCACTCCTGACCAGCAGCCCCCTGCTATTCCTGTTCAGAGACCCCTCTTGAACCAGGGCAGTATGGCCCACCCCAAGTATTCAGAAGTCACGTGTCAGGCCCTCCTAACTGTGCGATTTAGTGAGGAAAAGCTAAGAGAAGAGCTAAAGGTTATTAGCACCACTGGCCGTCCTGAGCTGTGGGCCACTTTTGCTCTGTCCCAGTTCTGGGGGCAACCATGGAACATCAGAACTGAATCCACTTTCCAAGGGTCTTTTAAACCCCAGGTCTGTGGTCTGGATTTAGCCACAGGCCCCGTCCACTGCAGCCTGGGCTGGAGATTCAGCAGTGGGTTGGGCTTCTGAAGTAACAAAAGTGGGTTGGGCTTCTGAAGTGTAAGGCTTTACCTTGATCTCTCCTACATTACAGCTATAGCCTACGCCAGCTCTGTGTTGGGGCCGGGCAGAAGTGTACTGCTTTACTATGTTACGAAGTGGCTATGACGTCATTTTTCTCCTCGCACGCAGCCGTTACCCGTTCTGACAGGCTGTTTATAATGCTAACTTTACTAGTTTTCAGAGGTTGTCGGGGGGGGGGAGGGGGGAGTGTGCAAGGTGGAAGTTTCGCCTTGTGCACAAAATATCCTTGCACCGGCCCTGGTGGGAGTCATCCTGATGGAAAGAGATGACGACGATGACGCCCCCGCAAAATGCAGCTCCTATGGGAGGAGGCAGCCCTTGGGGGTGGGGCAGACAGCCTCCTCCCCTTCCTGGTGTGTGACAGGCAGGCGGGGGAGAGCTCTCTGCTCCGACTGACTCCTAATCCTCCCCGAGGGTGAGACACCCCCAGGAGCACCCCTCCCAGGGCTCCCCAACTGGGCCCTGCCCCCCCAGACCCACACCCAACCAGACCCTGCCCCCGACCGGGCTCAGACCCCCCGGCTCCGCACTCACTCTTGCGCACCACCGCCTTCAGTCCGGACGGGGCCATCTCCGCCTCTTGCCACGTCCCCTCGAGCCCTGTGGGTAGAAGTAGGACTCAGCTGTGTGCGGGGTGGGGCTGGAGTCAGGACTCCTGGGTTCTGCCCCGGCTCTGCTCCTGACCTTGGGCACGCCCTGGCCTCTCCCTGCCTTGCTCTGGGGAGTGTCTGTGACGCTGGACGACGGCCCCTAGTGACGCTGAAATCAGTCACTGGTGGACGGGCCCGGCCCCCCCTAGTGTCACTGATGGACGGGCCCAGCCCCCCCAGTGACTGATTTCAGTATAAAGCAACTGGGGTGCTGGCGGGTCGATGTCTGCAAGGCTGAAGACGGCCGAACGCCGCAGCCCCCCACTTCTGGCGCTGCGAGGGCTGGGCCTGGGCACCAAGGGGCGGGCGCCCAGTGACAGGGCCACGCAGGTCCCCACTGAACCCCCACCTGATCATGTGGGGCGCAGAGGGAGGCGGGGGCCTCGGGCAGGGTTAAAGCGAGGACTGGGTTGGGGTCGTGGGGCCTCAGCCCACTCCAGTCAGGGCTCCCCAGTGAGCTTCAAGTCCCCCCTCCAACCAGTGTCCCCCCCCAGCAGTGCCCCTCGCCCCCCCCTCCACGCACCTCCCCCCTCGGTCAGGCCCCTCACCCACCTCCACCCAGCCCCCCTCAGCCAGGCCCCGTGTTGTACCCAGGAACAGGAGCAGGTCGAATGGAGCGAACGGCCTCTGCCCGTCTCGCCCCGTCAGGAATGGCGTCCTTCAGCGCTGCCGGGGGCGGGGAGGGCTGGAGCCGCGCGCGCCCAGCGACTGGCACGGACTGTACCGCTGCTCAGCCAGTCCCGGCCCTTCCTGCACGGAGCGGCGGGAAAACATGGTACAGCCCCAGCCGGGGTGGAAACAGTCTGAGGTAAAATTGTCCTGGGAGCTGCCAATGGCGGGAAAAACCGGTTGGATCCAGTTGTGACTGGGCCATGATCACCGTAAACAACAAGATGGCGGTCACAAGATGGCCGTTCCGACGCCATCTTGGATTGCTGCTCTGTCTTTACAAACCCCATATTGAATTTAATATACACATATTTTAACAGACTATAATCCTATAACAAAACAAACCCAACAGTATACAGAGCAGTATAAACAAGTCATTGTCTGTATGCCATTTTAGTTTGTCCTGACTTTGCTAAAGCTTTTTGTGTAGCCTGTTGGTGTACCCCCGGAAGACCTCTGCGTACCCCCAGGGGCACCCGTAACCCTGGTTGAGAACCACTGGGTTAGAGAAATGTGTGTAATTTCAGTGAGAGTTAGGTGCCTAAATACTTCTGAAATTAAAATCTGGGCCTAAATCTCACTTTGATGACTAGAGTTCACGGCGCAACAAGGCCTTGTTCTGCTAACTGGGTCTTACTTCATCAACAAAGCAGGAGTGAAGTTCTGGAACAGCCTTCCAAGAGCAGTTGTAGGGGCAAAAACCTAACTTGTTTTAAGACTGAACTTGATACGTTTATGGAGGCAGTGCTATGATGTGATTGCCTACAATGGCTTATGGCCCATCCGTGACTGAGAACAAGAGCAGGATTTGAAAAGGTTTGTGACACCATCATAGGACCTAATCACATTTGCCACGCCATCAGGGGCTCGTTAACCTGCACATCTACCAATGTGATCTATTTCAGAGTAACAGCCGTGTTAGTCTGTATTCGCAAAAAGAAAAGGAGTACTTGTGGCACCTTAGAGACTAACCAATTTATTTGAGCATGAGCTTTCATGAGCTACAGCTCACTTCATCGGATGCATACCGTGGAAACTGCAGCAGACTTTATATATACACAGAGAATATGAAACAATACCTCCTCCCACCCCACTGTCCTGCTGGTAATAGCTTATCTAAAGTGATCATCAGGTGGGCCATTTCCAGCACAAATCCAGGTTCTCTCACCCTCCAACCCCCCCACACAAATTCACTCTCCTGCTGGTGCTAGCCCATCCAAAGTGACAACTCTTTACATAATCAAGTCGGGCTATTTCCTGCACAAATCCAGGTTCTCTCACATCCCCCCACCCCCATACACACACAAACTCACTCTCCTGCTGGTAATAGCTCATCCAAACTGACCACTCTCCAAGTTTAAATCCAAGTTAAACCAGAACATCTGGGGGGGGGGGGGGGGAGCAGGACAGTGGGGTGGGAGGAGGTATTGTTTCATATTCTCTGTGTATATATAAAGTCTGCTGCAGTTTCCACGGTATGCATCCGATGAAGTGAGCTGTAGCTCACGAAAGCTCATGCTCAAATAAATTGGTTAGTCTCTAAGGTGCCACAAGTACTCCTTTTCTTAATGTGATCTATGCCATCATGTGCCAGCAATGCCCCTCTGCCATGTACATTGGCCAAACCAGACAGTCTCTATGCAAAAGAATAAATGGACACAAATCTGACATCAGGAATCATAACATTCAAAAACCAGTAGGAGAACACTTCAACCTCTCTGGCCACTCAGTAAAAGACTTAAGGGTGGCAATTTTGCAAGAGAAAAGCTTCAAAAACAGACTCCAATGAGAAACTTGGGTTTGAATAGAGCCTGTGAGTGGCTGGGTCATTACACATATTGAATCTATTTCCCCATGTTAAGTATCCTCTCACCTTCTTGTCAACTGTCTAAATGGGCCATCTTGATTATCACTACAAAGGTTTTCTTTTGTTCCCCCCCCCCACTCCTGCTGATAATAGCTCATCTTAACTAATTAGTCTCTCACAGTTTGTATGGTAACTTCCAACTTATCTGTATATATATATATATGTTCCAGTCTATGCATCTGATGAAGTGAGCTGTAGCTCAAGAAAGCTTATGCTCTTATAAATGTGTTAGTCTCTAAGGTGTCACAAGTCCTCCTGTTCTTTTTGCAGATACAGACTATCATGGCTGCTCCACTGAAATCTATGGAAGATGAGAACATCCAGTTGTAATACACAGGAAAAAATAAAAATGTGGACCTGTGTAGAGGATCCAAGAGAGGTGAGGCCAAAACGAAATTAACAAAAGAAACCAACATATCCTCTTTGAGAAGGCCTCATAACCAACCCCAGCCAGTGCAATTCCTAGTTCTCTTAGGCAATGCCTACACTTAAAACTAAAACTAAGGCTGTGCGACTGTGGTGCTTGAGTGTAGACATTCACTACAGCTACGGGAGGGGTTCTCCTGTCGCTGTAGTTAATCCACCTCCCCAAGAGAGGGTAGTTAGTTCAACGGAAGAATTCTTTCCATAGACCAAGCGCTGTCTACACCGCCATAGCTATGTCTCTAAAGGGGCGTGGGTTTTTTGCATTATTGATGTCGCTGTACGTTTTCAGTGCACATTCAGCCCTTATTATTAAATTAAGTGCACTGACAGGCTCTCTCTTTTTCCCTTTGGCATCAGGTCGGGGGGCGGAGCCGCTGAGCCCAGATCATACAGCTCTTACCGCAGAGCCTTGAGTCAGAGCAACCAAACTTCTACTCTGAACAACAAAGGCATGAGGACCGAGGTCAGGCTAGCGATCTGGGGGGGTTGCACCCTATAGCAGCCAGCATGGCTCCAAGTTCCTCCTCCCTTGCTCAACTTCCTTCTTCCTGTTTATATAGCCCAGCCCCCAGGGCAGAGCGAGGACTCCTTGATTGCGGTCCGGCTGTCTGGGCTATCCGCTCCAGACCACTGTTCCCTCTAAGCTGTGCACGTGTGCGCACGCACCCAGATCCTAAACCCCACGCACATGGTGAAACACCACGCACACAACAATTTGCACAGAAGAAATTTTTTGCACACGTGGCCTGTCAAAAGTTAGAGGGAACATTGTTCCAGACTGTACCTTTTAGAGGTAGTACACCCCATCACATGGTGATATAAGCCCTCATGCTTCAGGGCATAAACCAACCTCTAACTGAGGGGGTTAGGAAGAATCCACCCTGGAAGATACCTTAACTCAGGTTAGGGTTTCTTGCAACTTCCTCTGAAGCAGCTGCTACTGGCTACTGTCAGACATAGGATCCTATCACTGCTTTGATCCCAGACAGCAGTTCCCAGGAGCCAGGTCACCCACCCTCCCTTTCTGAGAATTACCTGCTGTTATAGCTAATGGTTGCATAACAAGAGTGAAACTGAGCTAATTAAACGCTGCCACTCAAGAGGCCAAGTGTCAAAAGCAGCCTGAGTCATCAGCAATTGATTCTGTTGGGGATCAGGTTTCAGAGTAGCAGCCATGTTAGTCTGTATCCACGAAAAGAAAAGGCTTTTCTTGTTAAGAATCAGAACATGATTCACCACAGAGCGTTTCCCTCCTAGATAAATGTTAATGGATAGAATGATGTTTATATGGCAGTGACCCAAGTCAGTTGCTTTTCTAGGAATTCCTACAAGTATATAATATATTAGAACATAGAATATTTAGAGGATTGTAGTAACCAGATACCAGGCCCTGCTAAGTTATATAGCACATAGCTGAAGCCCCTGACATTTGTG